TAGATTTGACCCGTGCTACGATCCCGAACATAATCGGAGAGGCGCACGTGTGCAACGGCCCGCTGCGTGATCCAATTTCCGCGACGCTGATGGAAATATCATCAAATCACATCACACTACGAAAGGATTAATCGCGTAAAAATTGTACCGTTCCACGCACTTTTCTTTAATATAACGGTAATATGATATGTGTAATGATAGAAAAAGAATAAAATGACACGGGGCTAGTATGCATCATGGTAATTTAATAATTCCTTATTAATATGTGTTTCTAGATCTTCACGGTCAATACGATTTTCCATTTTACATTTTATCGTTTAAAATTCACATTTTTATCTATGCTTAATTTAAAGCTACTTTTCAAACGACGGATTTACAGACGGTTTTCAATGTAGTAACGCGTGTAGAATTGTCGACGAAGCGTGCGTTGATTGTAAAGAAACAGCAAATACAGAAAGAGAGAGAGAGAGAGAACTTTTAAAATTTATAACTTATTAAAAAATTTCTCGTTGATCCTACAGTGAACTCCTCGCCCGTTCGATTAACTGTCTACGCGAAGTCTTTGTCCCCGATTACCGTACCGTGATTTATGAAGACATATTGACAACGACACGATGCTTGTACATCGACTAAGAAATCTGTCAATAAACTCGGCAACGGTACATCAATGACCCCCGGAACCCCGCGAAATATTGGCGTGACAAAGTACGTGAAAATTTCGAAATTAATCGTAGCCTGAAAATATAAAACATGCCCCTCGTAATTAATCTTTGGATGTCTCTTAATATTAAATTATGTCCACGTTTTGAAGAAAACTCGAAGAGGGTTAATTGTTCCGAACATTTATTTAAAATAAAATTAGATAATAAAACAGATCATAAAGCAAAAAAAGCTTTAAGAAATATTTTTCTTTTTTGGTCGAAAATGTGATCTCGCATAACGTAAATTATTATCCGCGTACGATAAAAACTAAATCGAAACGAGAAGAAAAGGCAACGGATGTTAAGGATCGTTTATCGCCTATTTTTGCCCTCCGTGTCCCGAGAAATGCTTTCTTGTTCGGAATTATGCGGCGATAAAGCAACGCCCGCAGAAAACCGACCGCCGTAAAAGCGTCGACGTTGGAAAGGAAGCACGGGATACACTAAATTAAGAACAATGGTTCGTTGACGCCTATCATATGGATACGCGGCCACAAAATTGGGCGTAGAATAGTGCGATTAATAATACCGGATGGTGAGAAAATCATCGATGGCAATTCAATTACATTGTCGCTTTCCTCGAGAGCCAATGCTTCTATCGTTTTAAAATTTTAAAGAAAATGATCGTTCGATTCGATGCGCTGCAAAATGACGCCGTCAATTTCAACACCCCTGAATTATTTATCGACTTTGACCGCATTACTGTAAATTACTCACAGGAATATTATTATAATTGAACTTTTATTCTCCCATTGCCATTAATTTTTATGTTCAGACGCTGGTTGCATCGGTTTGAATATATAATAATATACCGGAATTTTTTTTTTTTTACATTTTGAATATATTTATATAATATCGACAAAAGAATTAAAGTTAGCTCTGAACGATATTTGTTGCTTCGAATCGCAAAAATGCCAGTCTCTAACTATCAATCAACCATTCACACGTAATAAAATTCACACAATGATTTCGCCTACTGTCCGTTCTGCTCATTATCTTCCGATCTCTTCGATTCATCCATCTAGGTGGTCTTTTACGGTTTCCTAATTTCTCCCCCTACGGGAAATTCACCGAGAGAGAATCCGGGAAAGGCGCACAATGCACGGTAGCGCATTCGAGTCATCGAGAACGGCCGACAGTCACACTAATTTCGTTTTGAGGAGAGAAGATGAGAGGAGAGGGCGATTAAGGAGTATCTAAGACTGCCCGTCTCCATTGTCATTCGTGGAAGTAGGAAGTTCATTATACGACCGAACTCGCCGATGATATTCCACCGACACGGCTCACAATGCCCGGAGAAGTTACCGAATGGCATCGCGCGCGATGGCTTTCTTCCGCGGGAAAAGGAAGAATGGAGGGACGGAAACGAGATGCGCTCTATGAAAGACACTTTCCCGCCAAGTCATCCCAATCACGAGCAATGCCGCCAATCGCGCATCGTGATCGTGCACGAATCGCATCGTCGCTGCGGTGTGAAAATTAAACAATCTCGCAGTCGCCTAGGCTGTGATTGTTGAACGATTAAAACTGCGCGCGAGGTATGTCGGAAATATTAAAATATATTTGCTGAAAGATTTTTTATATCGAGGCCATTTTTTTTTTATTCCGGCAATAAAATATAATAATGTAATCTTTGCAATGCCCGAAGTATGAATCATAAATAGAAGATAATGTGTGGAAAAATA